AATCCATCACATGGCTTTAGATGTGACTCTTGTGAGTTGATGGAGTGGCTGGACCTGTGCCTGGAGAGGTGACCCCTGTGTTGCCTGTGAGGACCTGAGGGCTGGCACCCACACCCCACACACATACAGCCACTACCACCTTCCACCTCCACTCCACGTACAAGCGGTGGAACCTGGAATGGGCATGCCTGCAGCCTGACCCACTCTCCACGCTGTTATTTTGGACCAGAACTCAGAGCTCCCCACAGCAGGTTTAGTGACTGGACACATCCTCTCCGTGCCCCCATCCAGCTAAACCAGTCTGCCATGGGCCTGAGACCACTGTCCCTCTTATCACCCTTCCCACAGCTTCCCTGACTCCCGGCCTTGAGCGGAGGCTGGGAATCAGAAGTCCTACTGCTGCTTATGACCATTTCTGCTGAGTCATACGGACCCGGCTCCTGTTTCCTCAGATATTAAAAAAGGAGCTGCCCCCATGGCTTCACTGAGAACCCAATGGTAACGGGAGATAACTAAAAATATCTAAAGAATAACCAAGTCCTGAGATACTGGGACAACTGAGGTTCTGTGAAGGCTAGGAAGACTGATTTGGGTTTAACGGTGAACTGTGGTTGCACCACCATGAAGGGACTTCAGGAAGTGCTGAGGGCCCTGATGGAGGCTCAAGGAGTCCATTTGGAAGGTGGGCAAGCAGGAGCAGAGATGCTGCACAGAATGGAGTGCTTCAATAAGTGTGGACAGGAAAGCGTGATGTTAGAACTGCCACACTGGATCTGACCCACAGTCTGTTCAGCCCAGTGTTCTGGAGTTTGAAAAAATACTTCATTCAACAATTTTGTGTGTGTGTGTGAGGCAGATTGGCCCTGAGCTAACATCTGTTGCCAATCTTCCTCTTTTTGCTTGAGGAAGATTGTTGCTGAGCTAACATCTGTGTCAGCCTTCCTTTATTTTACGTGAGATGCCTCCACAGTGTGGCTTGATAAGTGATACTAGGTCTGCGCCCAGGATCCGAACCTGTGAACCCCAGGCTGCCAAAGTGGAGCATGCAAACTTAAACACTATGCCACTGGGCTAGCCCCTTGTTCAACAACTTTTGAATTCAAATATTTGCTCAATACCAATGTATGTCAGGGAGTTTCCCGTGGTGTCACCCTACCTCCAGCCAGTGTGCTCCGTCAGTCCCTCATGGGATGCTTACAGCTCACATCAAATTTCAGAGCTGAACCCAGCTTCCCACAGGACAGCCACTCTCCACGAGGCTGTCAAGGACACCCATGCATCAAGCCTGGATTTGTGAGCAGAGATGGGTTCTCACAGTCGGAAAATGAAGCCATGCGTTATTTAAGTTCCCTCTCACTTAATGTATCAAACTAATATGCTGAGGTATTTTCTGTATCACAAGGGACCATTTGGTAAAAGCTTGCATGGAGTAAGCGTTTAATGTTTACTGAATGAATGTATAATAAAGCCGAATCGCGGAACACTTAAGTAAACACGGCTTATTAGAGGGAAGGCCGCATGGAGTTGGTAAGGAGAAATCACGCCTCACTAATCTCCTTGAGTTCTTAGAGCAGATAAATAAGCATATGGATAAGAGGGAACCACAGAAACCAATTTAATTTGACTTTCAAAAACCTGTGAGAAAATCCCACTCTAAAGAGTGTTTTTACAAAATTGAGTCACTAAGGATTGTTTTATCATGAATATGGAATTGGCTTAAAGACGATAAACAAGGGTAAAGATAAATGGATACATTCCCAGATGGAAGATGATAAGCATGGGGGTTTCCTAGAGATTTTTGATGGGTCTTTTTATGTGTTTATGAATGACCTGGAAGAGGGAGAGTATATTGAATCTCCAGGTTCAGGTAATACCCGGTTCTTCTGGGGAGAATGTCAAGTTGATGGAGATTCAATTCAGTTTGAAGAAGAATATACTAGATACTAAATGGTAGTTATCTGTTTGGCCCACGGGGTATAAAAAAGAAGTACAAGCCTTAAAGAGCTAATCAAGTTAGGGTGAAAGGCATACCTTCATTTAACTGTAAATAGTAGAAGGCACAGTGGGATCACTTGTGAAAATAAGTGATGCGATGATAAATGCTGTAAGAGTTCAGACAGGGGACAGTAAATATGGATCGAAGCTTCACGGATGAGGCAGAATCTGAGGAGAGCCTTGAAGAACAGCTAGGGTTTAGATGGGTGTGGGAGAGGTGGAGGATCTTGTTAACAGCAGCCAAGGCACGTTGAGTGCGTGTCTCTCCCGCTTCTAAGGCAGGGCTTGTCTGCGTGATCTCATTTAGCCTCACAACAGCCCAGTAAGGCAGGTCATATCCTCATTTTCCAAAGGAAGAATGAGAGGCTTCAAGAAGTTAAGTAATTCCCTCAAGCTCATCTTGCTAGTAAATGCAAGACCCACTGTCCTGCTGCCTCCAGTTCTAGTGGGAGTGTCAGCGTGAGCCAAGGCACAGGGGCAGGGCTTTCCAGAGCAGGTTACAGAGAGAATGGAGGGGCCTGTCCAGCTAGAGCGACGCTTATATTGGGGAGCAGTGAGAGCTGAGGTTGGAGCATATGTAATGGATCTAAATAACAGATCCCCTTAAATCTCATCTGGAAACTAGAACTTTATCCTGCGGGTACTGTGTTGAGTGGAAGAAGGAAATTGGAACCATATTCTGGAGTTTGGGGCCTACAGATTGTCCAAGGGGTGGAGAAAGTAAGGGAGGACAGACAAATGGTTTGGAGGAGAAATTGACTGAAGCTAGGGCAACTTTGTTTTGTCTCCCCTGCTTGAACATGTGTGTTGAGTATATGTCTGCTCCTACCTAGCACGTTAATTAGAATGCAGCCCTCTTCCAGGTCAGCTGTTGGGGTCTCATGCCCTGGTGACATCCTGGGTGTCATGTAAGGAGACATACGGCTGCCATATCTCATCTCACTGCCCAGGGATTAAGGCCTGCTCAAGAACCATGGCAGGTTCTCCGAGTGCCTTTGCTGCCCACTCGGACGCGGCTTGGTGGTCCAGGCCCTTTGACTCACTGGCTTCCCCCACTGCTTTCTTTTTTTTTTAAAGATTTTATTTTTTTCCTTTTTCTCCCCAAAGCCCCCAAGTACATAGTTGTATATTCTTCGTGGTGGGTCCTTCTAGTTGTGGCATGTGGGACGCTGCCTCAGCATGGTTTGATGAGCAGTGCCATGTCGGCGCCCAGGATTCCAACCAATGAAACACTGGGCCGCCTGCAGCGGAGCGCGTGAACTTAACCACTCGGCCACGGGGCCAGCCCCTTCCCCCACTTCTTTAATCAAAATTCCTTGCTGAATCTGCTGGGGCAACAATCTACAACTGCATTTAATGGTCAGACTCAGTCTCTAAGACTTCGACACCACACAAAACCTTTAGGGGCCTTTGAACAGAAGAATAACATAATGTTTGGGGAAGAGAACCTAGAGGCAGCAGAGAAGTCATTAAATTTCTACAGTTCCTTCAGCCCTTCTGACGTGATGGAGTTAGCAGGCGAGGCAGTCATCTCCCTCCAGGTCACCTCTTTGTGGTGGTTATGTGGTGTCTGGAATTGGGCATGATGCTCTGGAGCTGGAAGATGAGCATGTTTTGGGTGAGCAACTAACTACTCAATGAAACCTTGATAATCTAGAAAGGTCACCTGCGGCAGTTGTTATAGTAGTGGCAGTAAAAAGAGCCCTGGACTTGAGTTGGGAGATGAAAAATGAACCCCTGCTCTTCTTCCTATTAGTCGTGTGATCAGCGTTGTTACTTAACCTTGCTGAGTGTTAGTTTCCTTGTCTGTAAAATAGAGGTGATAGCTGTATCAATCTCATAAGTTCTCGTGAAATTTAACGAGAAAAAGCCACTCTGGGTGGCTCAGCCAGAAGAGAGTGCAGGGGGGCTATGCTAATTAAGACAGCCCCAGGGATCTCCCATCTAATAAGCCGTCCTCTGTCCCCATTCTGGATGGCGCAGTGTCTCCCATCATAGTAGCACTCACCACACCATATTGTCCTGTCCTGTTTGCCTGTCTGCCTCTGTCACTAGACTGTGAGCTCCTTGAGGGCAAGACTGAGTCTTCTTTCTCTTCATGATCAGCACCTAGACAGTGCCTGGCATATGGCAGGTGTGCACAAGTTTACCAAATAACCAAGAAAAGAGCGAAGACATTACCTACTATGCCTTTAAGAATGGAAGATGAGTTTAATTTGACCAAAAGAAAAAACAAAGTTTGGCACATAGTGATTCTCTGAATTCTCACAAGCAAGTGCTTATTAATTCACTTTGGACTCTTTCCAAGAATCAAGATAGAGGTTATTCTTCTGCTCTGCTAGAATTCCTATCTCCCTATTTTTGGAAAATATGGACGACACTGTCCTCTGCCACTTGCTGTCACCTCTTCCATTCTTTGGGATTTCTCATCAAAGATAAAAAGGATATGTACTTTCTAAAAAAGATGGAATATGCACATCCTCTAGTGGAGTGGAGATTTGAACTGACATAAGGGACCCTCCTTCAGGCTCCTCCTGCTACCTTGGGACGCATTTCCCTGTAATATGGTTTGTCTTCCCTTTCTGGCCTTAAGACTTTTATACTGTCTGGGAAAGATGTAAGTGCAAGAGGCTCAAAATGTTGCTTTCCCTTTGGCATTTATTAACTTTGCTCAGTCTTCCTCAGTCACTTGACCTGTGCCCTCTGGATTCCTCTGGCTTTGAACACAGCTTTAAAAAACCCTCCTGGTTTTAGCGTTTTTATTAGCCATGACTTCTCTTGAGCTTTAGCTTTCTTGAAGCGTTTCTTAAATGTAAATGCTGTTCTTTTGTACCAGTCCTGTACATCTCTTTTGAAAACCTGAACTCACTGGGGAGCTCAGTTTTGAGTTGAACTGATCTAACCCCGATGAGAGGCCCAATCACGTTCCTGTTGGATGGTATCTGTGGTCCTTGCATCTTAGAATGATTCCCCATCCATCCATATGCAAAAAGAAAACTACATACCATTCTGTTGGTAAAGTTACTGAAGTTCTCAACCAACACCTGCTTGATCATGTCTGGCTCAGAGATGACGATAACCATGCGACGACCAAAATAGTACCTGGGAGGAAGAAAAAAAAATCACTTTAAAATGTGTTGTATTTATCTACCCATTTCTCCTTTCCAAAAAGAATTCACAGTGGCCTAGAATGAAGGATAAAAGATGAAGAGCAAGTAAAGATGTGGAGAAGAAGAGGAAATACATGTGCTGATCATGAGAAACAGTATAGCTGTGATGATCTGACATCAAATTTCATTCCACAAACATTTATGGATTCCCACCTTGTCCCTGGAGACTCTGGGATGAATAAGACACAGTCCCTGCTCCTAAGGAGCTCGAAGCCTGATGGGAAAGAGATCTGTAAATGTAAACACAGTGCTAAGGAATTCATAAGATCCAGTAGTAAGACCAAGAAGGAGAATGGCAGAGGTCAGCATTGTCCATAGTTTCCAAAAGTGGAGAGAAAGACATTCTAGGAAGAGAAGACTCATAACTTTTGTATTGATTCTTAGAGAAAGTCTAAAGTGAGTTAATAAACAGATGCTTGCGAGAATTCAGGAAAGATTAAACCTGTTGGTGAAGGACTGAACATCTCGTTGCCACACCTATATCTGAAGGAGCTCTGTGGATACTGATGACATTTATGAAGAGATGGAGGAGAAGATGAGCCAGTCAGCTGGTGGTGGTGAGCTCTAACCAGAGGCAATGCTTAAGGACATGTCTGGTTATATTTGTTAAAGTACTGAGGACATAAAAGCAGCCAAGATGTAGTCACAGCCTTCAAGGGTCTCACAATCTGGTGGGAGTGACAATTGGAAAATCAGCATACAGTGTGACATCTGGCAATCATGGGTGACATTGGAGGCACACTCAACTCAGTGCTTGGAGAAGAGAGAATGAAGGCTTCCCAGAAGCTACTTCCCAAACTGAGTTCTGAAAGATAAACTGGAGTTAGTCCTGGAGGAGGGTGTACCAGGCAGAGGAATCTACTGTCCAACTGTCCAGGGATGAGCCTGCTTGAGGAACTAGGAGTCCTCGGCCATCAACTGCATAAAGCAAACCAGAGTGATGACCAGTGGGTCCACTGCATCATGCCATGTTTTTAGTGTGTGAAATTATACTTTCAGGGTGTAATTTGACGGCTGCCGTATCTAGCTCAGAGCAGTAAGGGACAGATTTTAAAGAGTAAAGTCACAAGACATGAAAACAACAAAGTTTACTCCGAATTCCTAGTTACTCGGAACTTTTCGTAAGCTAAAAATGGCTTTAATTTTATAACTCCTTTCCTTCTCACTGTCTACGGGAAAAATATTTGTCTGGCGCATATTAGGCACTCAGAAAATATTCGCCTGAGTAATCACATTTTCCAAAGCTGCTGGGGGAATCTTTGGGATACAGGAATTCAATGGAAGTGGTAGAAGGAAAGAAATGATACTAACTAGTTTTTTACTGGTTTTGACCAAGCAGACCAAAAAGAACCCAATGAAGCCATAAACCAATGCTTCTATAAAATTTGTGAGGAGTGTCATGGAATCTTTTGAGAATCTAGTGAAAGCTGTGGACATTCTCCTAAGAAAAGTGGACATTGGCAGCATTTTGTATACAATTCAAGGCGTTCTTGGACTCCTGAAGCCCAGTCTAAAGTAACACTTCTCAAAATTAAAATATGCTTAAAAGTCACCCAGGGTTTGAAGAAATAATGGCTGAAAATTTCTCCAATTTGTCAAAAGACATAAACTTACAGTTTCAAGAATCCCAAATAGGAGAAACTCAAAGAAATCCATGCCAAGACATATTATAATTAAACTTCTGAAAACTAAAAACAGAAAAAAATCTTGAAAGCAGCCAGAGAGAAAAGATGTATTATCTATGAGGAATACCAATTTAAAGGACAGGAGATTTCATATCAGAAACCAAGGACGGGGCTGTCCCCGTGGCCGAGTGGTTAAGTTCGTGCACTCCACTTCGGCGACAGAGGGTTTCGCCAGTTCTGATCCTGAGCACGGACCTTGGACTGCTCATCAAGCCATGCTGAGGCGGCGTCCCACAGAGCAGACCCAGAAGGACATACAGCTAGAATATACAACTCTCTACTGGGGGGGCTTTGGGGAGAAGAAGGAAAAAAAGAGGAAAAAAAACGAAGATTGGCAACAGATGTTAGCTCAGGTGCCAATCTTTAAAAACACACACACACACACACACACACACACACACACACGGAAGCCAGAAGCAATTGGCACATATTTCACATGCTGAAAGAAGAGAACTGTCAATCACAAGTTCTATATCTGGTGAAAACATCCTTCAAGAAAAAAGAGGAAATAACAACATTGTCACATGAAGGAAAACTAAGAGAATTTGTCACTAGCAGATCTACTCCTTAAGAATGGCTAGAGGGGCTCTCCAAACAGAAGGGAAATGAGAACAGAGAAAGCCTGGAACTTCAGAAAGGAAAGAAGAACAACGGAATGGGTAAAATTTATACATTATCCCTCTTATGAGTTTATTAAATTACACTTGATGATAGAAGCAAAAATTATAACACTATCTAATGTGGTGTTCAGTATACTTAGAAGAAATACTTAAGATAAATATATTTAAAAATTAATAAAGGAAAAGGGATCAAAATGGAAGTAAGGTTTGCCCATGTCACTAAAAGGGATAAAGCATCAATACCAGTAGACAGTGACAAATTACAAAAGTATATTTATGCAACCACTAAGAAAACTATACAAAGTGATATACAAAAAATTTTTAATGTCAGAATCTAAAAAATGTTCAAATAATTCACAAGAAGGCAAGAAAAGTGAAACAAGAAATAGGGGAATAAAAGAAAACAAACACATTACTATATTATAATTATAAATATAATGAAATAATTAGATAACATATCAAAATTGGTGGTTGCTGGGGCTGGCCCCGTGGCCGAGTGGTTAAGTTCGCGCGCTCCGCTGCAGGAGGCCCAGTGTTTCGTTGGTTTGAATCCTGGGCGCGGACATGGCACTGCTCATCAAACCATGCTGAGGCGGCGTCCCACATGCCACAACTAGAAGGACCCACCACGAAGAATATACAACTATGTACCGGGGGGCTTTGGGGAAAAAAAATAAAATCTTAAAAAAAAAAGAAATTGGTGGTTGCAGCTAAAGCAAACAGTGCTGAGAGAGAAATTTATAGCACTAAGTACTACCCTAGAAAAGAGGAAAGATCTTAAATGAATAATCTAAGTTCCTTTCTCCAGAAACTAGAAAAAGAAGAGCAGAAAACCTAAATCAAGAAGAAGGAAGGGTATAAAAAAGAAAAGAACAGGCATCAACGCATTTGAAAACAGAAAAACAATAGAAAATTAATGAAACAAAAAACTAGTTCTTTGGAAAAAAAGTCTGTAAAATTAATAAACATCTAGCAAGACTGACAAAGATAAAAAGAGAGAAGATACCAATATCAGGAATGAAGTAAGATGTCACCACAGATCATGCAGCCATTAAAAGGATAAGGGACTACTACAAATAACTTTACAGCATTAAATTTGACAGCTTGACAACTACAAACTACTGAATCTCAAACAAAATAAAATAAACAACCTGAATCCTGTAACCATAAAAGAAATTGAGTTCATAATTTTAAATTTCCTGGAAAAAAATCTCCCAGCTCAGATGGTTTCAGTGGAGAATTCTACCAAACATTTAACAGAATTAACACAAAATAAAAGAAGAAGGAGCACTTCCCAACTCAATTTGTGAGGCTAGTATTACCCTGATATCAAAACCTGAAAAAGACAGTACAAAAAAAAGAAAGCCATAGACCAATATCCCTTATGAACTTAGGACATGAAAATCTTCAACATAATATCCGCAAATCAGATCCCAAACTCGATCAATATAATCTGCCATATAAACTGCATAAAAAAGAAAAGCTGTATGATCATATCAGTTGATGTAGAAAAAGCATTTGATGACATCCAGCACTCATTCGTGATAAAAATTCTCAGGAATGGAGGGGAACTTTCTCAACTTTATAAAGAGTATCTACAAGAAACCTACAAAAAATAACTAACATTATAGTTAATGGTGAAAGACTGAATGCTTTCTCCTAAGATTGGGAACAAGGCAAGGATGTCGACTCTCACTACTCTTATTCAACATAGTACTGGAAGTTCTAGCCAGGGCGACAATAAGTCAAGGAAAACAAATTAAAAGCATATAGATTGAAAAGGAATAAATAAAATTCTGCCTAATTTCAGATGACATGATTGTCCACATAGAAAATCCTAAGGAATAAAAAAAATCCTGGACTAATGAGTCCAGCAAAGTTGCAGGATTCAACATCAATAAACACACATATTTAGCATTTCTATATACTAACAATGAACGTGTGAAAGCCAAAATTAAAACAGAATTCCATTTACAACGCTGATGGAAGAAATCAAAGAAGACCAAAATAAATGGAGAGATATGTCATGTTCATGGATTGAAAGACTCCACATTGTAAAGATGTCAGTTCTCTCAAAACTGATCTATAGGCTTAATGCAATTCCTATCAAAGTCACAGTAAGAATTTTTGCAAGCCTAGAAGAGGTTATTCTAAAATTTATATGAAAAGGCAAAGGACTTATAATAACTAAATCAATTTTGAAAAAGAAGACTCAAGCAGGAGGATTCATTCCACCAGATTCCAAGACTTGGCTACACTAGTCAAGACTGTGTAAAATTGGCTGAGAGATAAACACATAGATGAATGGAACAGAATAGAGACGCCAGGAATAGACCCACACAAATATCCTCACCTAATTTTTGACAGAGAAACAAAAGCAAATCAATGGAGGAAGGATAATCTTTTCAACAAGTGATGCAGGAGCAATTGGACTTACATAGGCAAAAAATGAACATCACACCTTATACAGAAATTAACTCAAGATAGATCATGGACATTAAATTAAAGCACTAAACATGGACATTAATTAAAACATTAAACTATAAGCCTTTTATAAGAAAATCTTTGGGATCTAGGATTAGGCAAAGAATTCTTATACTTGACACCAAAAGTATAATTCATGAAAC